CGTGCAGCAAAAGAAAAGTGAAAAACTGAAAGGTCTCATAAAACTATTACCCGACCGAGCAGAGATAGATCTGCTTACGAATTTTGACGGTGATCAAAGCACGCTAGGTAACGCAGAGAAGATCATAAAGCAGTTGTCACAATTGAATGATTATGCTTTGAGGCTTAATCTCATGTTGATCAAATTGGAGTACAGGATAACTTACAATTCTATCCACGAAAGACAAGAAGCTTTCCTCACCATGTGCCACAACATCTTGGAATGCGAATCTTTGAAAAAGTTTTTCAGAGTTGTCCTCCAGTACGAGAACTTCTTGAATGTGGGAAGTTACGCTGGGAATGCACTGGCCTTCAAAATTTCATCACTGCCAAAATTGTCGGACACTCAAGGTAATCAAAGAGAAATAGCATTGCTCCATTTTTTGGTACTCCAATGCTTTGGATTTTGCCGACAATCTCTACGAGAACTTGCTCTTTTCTTCAAAGTTATCGACAGATGGATTGAGTTCTGATCTGGCGAACTTTGACAATAGGCGAGGAACGATGACATCTGTTTTCCTCGTCATCGTTTTAGGGTTGGGGGTATGTCACGGTTATTGCTTGTGTGAAAAAATATTTTTTTAAGTTGTGCGCTATGGCATTTGTTTTTGTTTTGGGCCTGCCTGGGCGCTTTGACAACAGCAAGCAATATGGCGACTGGAATATGTTTTAGGAATAAGATAGAGTAGATATATTTAATTGAACTGAACGATTATGGTTAATTAGTTGTTTCTGGTGTTTTGAATTTTGTTTTTTCTTCCAAATTTATTTGACAAAAAAAAAGTCAGGAGATCAAAAAAGTAACAAAAGTACTTGCGAAGACCACCATGACTAAAATCAAACAAAAAATTACTTACAGTAATAGACTAATAATAATACATTCATAAAATTAGTTAAACACATTTAGCAACCACGTTAATAAACAAATACATTGCATAAAAAAAGTGAAAAAAGTACTGAATCCAAGGGGAGGCCTATTTACCAACATACAACACTTTCTTATGGGTTGAAGCTGAGATAGGCAAAGAACCTCAATTTTTTCAACTTTTAATTATTTTCGGTAATGTTGATTTTATTTTTTTAAATTTAAACCAAATAAAAATTATTAATTATCACATTAAATAAAAATTAAAAAAAAACTAAAATTTTGTTACAAATTTTAATGACTGAAAAATTGTTGTTAATGGTGTAATTCGAAGCTTTTTTACTTTTCGTTCTTGTTTTGTTAATTTTTCTGACTGAATAAACTCTTTCAATAAATGTTTAAATTTTTATATTGTCATATATTTTTCAGTTTTTGTATATGTACTAATTCTCGTGTCAGATACAATAATTTAGTTTTTAAGTAAATTTTAATTTTCGTAGCTATACAGACATGCCTACCAGTTGCATTAAAATTGCATTAATGATTAATTTATTTTAATTTTTAATAGAAATAAGAAAATTTCTGATGCATCTTTTCACAGGTTTGTTTCCAAATTTAACTTCACACTAAAATAAATGTAACAACTATCCCTATGCTCACTGAATAGAACTATTTTGTTTTACAATTACATATATTTTATTTTATAGACTATTATATTTATATTTTTATAATCATTATATTTATAATAATGCTCTCATGAATTACCATTTTATTATTAAAAGCAATACTTAAGAAATGCACAAGTTTCTGTAACAGTTTATAAAATTTCAGATTTCCTCAAAATGTAGAAATGCGAAACGATTGGATTTAGTAAGTGCATCAGATAGGAAATAAATGATTTCAAATGGCTTCCATCAAAAAATGCAAGAATATGCAGTGACCATTTCTGTAATAAAGATTATAAGGGTTATGATGGAGAAAGGAAGGTAATGCTGAAGGAAACATTCCCATGTTTTCAAGTTAGTTATATTTACACAAGGAAGCAATTCACATCATCATTGTACATTGCAACATTCTTATCTATACAAAAAATATAAAATGCATTCAACAATATTATCCATGTGTTTTATTAAAACTTAGAAAGGGCATAATGACATTGTGAATAATAAACCCTGCTTAGGACTGGGATCATCATCATCATACCAATCACCATTACAAGTAGAGTCAATTTTATATTAATGCTTAACAAGTTAATTAAATTGGCATAATCAAGTTTTTTTTTTTATATGAAATACACATCAAGTTTTTAATGAAACAAATAAATTAACAGAAAAATTTCTGGAAAAGTTTAAAAATTTAGAATGTATGACTCTGATCAAAATGCATTCGTGTTGACACTGCATTTGTATGGATGGGCCTAAGGCATATGATTATCTTTGGACAAATGGCCTACATCTTCCTCAAACTAGGACATTAAGTAATCTTGTCATACCTGTTCAATAATTTTAATAAGATTGTTTTAAATAACTATTCTCAATGTCATTTTATTAACACTACATTAAAAGGTGGCTACAAAACATTGATGGTAAGCCTGGGGTGATTTCTACAAACCTTATTGACTAATGGTGATGGGGATCCTCAGGAACTGAAGGATCATGACATTCAATCTAGTCATGGATTGAGAAATCACTCATTGTCCTTGATATATTTGATAACAAACATTTATTACAATTTAAGAATGAAAAAAAGATGTAGGTGTAAGGCAAAATCTTACAGGAACTATTATTTTTAGCAACTTATGATTTATTTTTTATTTATGACTATTTATTTTCAATGATATGTCTAACTACATTAAAAGGTGGCTACAAAACATTGATGGTAAGCCTGGGGTGATTTCTACAAACCTTATTGACTAATGGTGATGGGGATCCTCAGGAACTGAAGGATCATGACATTCAATCTAGTCATGGATTGAGAAATCACTCATTGTCCTTGATATATTTGATAACAAACATTTATTACAATTTAAGAATGAAAAAAAGATGTAGGTGTAAGGCAAAATCTTACAGGAACTATTATTTTTAGCAACTTATGATTTATTTTTTATTTATGACTATTTATTTTCAATGATACCGATATTTTTAATTATTATTATCCAAATCATATAGGTGCCTGTATAAATTAATTTGATTGTGGCTATTTATATGCTTAATCATTTTATTTACTTGACATAGGTATGCACAGCATTTAGTAAATTAATGATAATTAATAACATAACATTCTAACTGCAATTTCTACTAACCTCATTGGTTATGGTGATGGGGATACTTTAAAACTGAATGATCATGATCTAACAAGTCATGGATGATGAATCACTGGAATCACACATTATCTTTAATAAATTTAATAACAACATGTAATATAATTTAAGAATGAGGAATATTTTATAAAACATTAAATGAAAAAAAATTTAGTTTGAATCACTCATATCATAATAAATAAATTTTAATTAAATTGCAATATTAGCTTGAGGAGCTTGAAGCTTGAGTTGAACAAAATTGTTTATTTTATAAAAAAAATTGATTGATAAGTTGTTTAATATATTTATTTAATTTAGTATATTCTTTATTCCCAGGCCTAAGCATTGTAAGTAAAAATTTTACAACCAATCAAGCAATAGGATTTAGGATTTTAGGAACAAGTGCTATTAGTGTAGTAGTTGTAGTATGTAGTAGTGTAGTGGTTGGTAGTCTCTAGTAGTCTAATCTGTTAATGTTCGTTAGTGTTATCTGTTATTTATTTTAATTAGAATTGGTAGTTTAGTTTTAGCTTAATTATTAGAGTTTAGTAATTTAATTACTAATTAGTCGTCGTTAATGTTGTTACGTTACCCTTACCGGTTACAGTTTATTTAATCGTTAACGAGTCAAGTGTTAGAAAAGTGGTTCACAAAAAATTTTTTTAATTTAAAATGCAAAAACCGTCATACAGCAATATCTATCCTAAAACAGCATCTAGTATCACCTTTCAAAACATTTTAAATAAAAGCAATATTCCGAAATTAGTAATTAAACGATCGTAATTTTAGACTTGGGCGATAAAAAATCACCCTCCAATTTCCCTCCGGAAGTAAGCTCCTTGCTCGACCGTCAAAAATGAGCGAAGGCCGTTATATTTATTCTAATTATATGACTGAATCACACAACAAAATGAAGGTCATAGGAATTGAACGTTATAATATTAATTTGATGTTAACATTTGATTTATGACATTATATATATATATATAAGTTTCTTTTATTGATTTTGAGTTTATATTTCAAAAGAAGTTTGAATTTAACCCGTCTCTTAGCTTGAATTATTGATTTCGTATATAAAAACCTGACATGGTGCAGTCGACAGGATATTAACAGAACTTTCCGTGATCATTATATGATATAATAATCTCGGGTAAAAAGTCCGTGACATAGCCTCACCGCAAATTTCTATACTTTTATTTTGAATTTGTGAACTTGTATAAAGTACATTATTTGACGAATGTAACAAATGTTCGGATAAGATTTTATCCCAAAATTCAGCAACAAGTCTCAATATGGCCCGAAAGTTGCCCTCATTAAGAGATGATTCATCTGGTTCAAAATGAGTCTGTATTCGACCAGAATCGAATTTCCTCGTAAAGATAAACCTTGCTTTCCGCATGTAATAATTATTTTCACTATTGATGACAGTTTGTTTTTATTCACTTTTTGTTGTCGCTTTCTTTTAGAATTTATTATATCAACTACTGATGACTCACTACTGAAGATATCACTTTAAATAAAATTATCTGCTAATTCATAGTTTCTTTTATGGTAAGATGTTTGGACATGCGCTTTTAAAATTTCCAGTGCATTTTTCTAATTACAAAAAGGTTCAGATGTGAGTTGACCCACCTGCTAATGATTTCCTTTTCCTTCAAGCGAACTGCCCATAATGACGAAAATTTTGCAAAATGCTCCACTTTTAACTTCAGAATAGGAAATCCATGGAAACCGATCGATCCAGCTGAGTTGAAAACGCAAATTTCGTTTTGTGAAGACTAGAAATTTATAGTATTTAGATGGGATTCAAGACTTTAAATATGCGAAGCTTGACAGAGTTGTCCACACCTTTATTCCAATAAAAACCAGTGTCTAATTTAACTGCAGTTGGATTAGAAAAAAGCAGAAACAGATTCTTTTGGTACAATAACAAAAATTGATCCAGAAGAAGGTGGAAAATTCTTAGGTGAAATATGATCTACGGCTACAGACGATGTTGAAGTAGCTTTTCGATCCCACCATTTCTTCCAATATTCCATATTACCACAGTTATCGCTTTTTCTTATTTCGTTTTCTTCCACGTCACTCTGGAACAATAATTATTAAATAAAAACATTAATATAATAAAAGGCGATAACTTTAGTGTTAATAAAATTCAAGCGTCTGTTCAAATTTTATAACGTTTAATGTCCATAATAAAAAAAAGAAAACCCATTTAAATGGAAACGATTATTTACCACAAAAAACATTTTTGGCAAATTCGGAGATAACTTCTTCTATCAAATTGTCAATGCTACGTCATTTTTTCACTTTTACCATTTCAATTTTTTGGGTATGTTTTCAACTTTAATGACAAAATAAATCAGAAAAATTAAATGTGTGAGTCAGAGGGTCAGTGAGATTTTTAATGATTTTTCTAAGTAGGAGCACTAATCTCCAAATTTAATTTTGAACCACGTGGCTATGTATAAAATCACTAAACAAAATGTTGGTTTTGTAAACTACCGTTTTTGTCACGTTCAACAACGTTCAAAACGATGCGAATTGAAAGTTGGGTGCCAAAACCGCATTACCCACGTTCTACCACTAGCTACGTCATGGCGACGGTCTGCATCCAAACTTAGATAAAATTAACGATTTATAATCGAAAACCGCGATTGAAATGATATACTTTTTAGTAATTGGACTTATTTTGCGATTTTATAAACAAAAATTCTAATTTACTGACAACCTTAATTTAATGAAAAATAGTTTTACCAAACACATTTTGTAAAATACTTAGGAGTACGGTTGTAACAAATTTATAAAAATTATTTTATAAATCATTCAAATAGAATAAAATAAAATGTTTTTAACTACCTGTAAAATAAGAATAAAATTTCAATCGGATCGGATCGGATATACAACTTTTATAGCAATTAGTCATAGTAACAGACAAAAAAGGAAAACAACAACCACGATCTAATGCAAAGATTTTTTGCTACCAAAAAAATATTTATTAATTATGTCTAATTAATTATCGAATATTGCTAACAAACCGCTAAAACAAAAAATTTATAGCGTTAAATTTTATAGAATTTTTTTTCTTATGAAAATTTTTAAATTTGACATAAATACATATTATTTTATTTTTTTCATTTCGGGAGGGTTTAAGCCCCAAACCCCCTAGCTACGCCCATGTCTGCATTTCATGTTCATCCTTGAAAACTGACCAATTTCTTACTAATTCATCAACCGTTCGAATGTGGCGAGGCATTGAATAATTTAAAAAACATTACTGAGAATTGCCACAAGCCCGACCATATCAAAAAAGGGATCTCCTCACAGTCGTTTATCTTGACTTCCTTCTGTCCAAAGCCACTTTTTAAGTTACTTGAGTTTCTCGCAATATATTTTTCACGCAAACGATGATTCGCCAAAATGATGAAAGATTTGCCCGATTATGTTCTTGCCTTAAAATAAAAATAAGATTTCGGATAATTCGCCCGATCATTGAAATATTCGCCTGATGACACTTTTGCGGAATAATTGAAAATAATACCTTGAGTGAAATGTTTTTTGTAATAATAATTTTTTCAGGTTGGTTTCGTTAGAGGTTTATGTTTGGTTACAACCATAAACACAATTCATGGTTTTATAACATTCTGTCATTTACTAGTTCCAGCTTTGGTATGTTAATTAGCCATTAGTTCAAAGTAATTGAAATACTTATAATTTGGTTGTAATTTTATCGTAATTAATAAATTTGTTGATAATTTGTTATTAATTTCAAACTAAATTATCAAGTGATTTTTCTCAAACATTTCAGGTGCTGTTTTTAACTCCACCACTGGGGCTGCAATCCAGCAGAGTTCAGTGCCGGTCTCTCTGGGTAAAAAAGGATGGTTGACAGGAGCTTGCTACACAGTTTTAAAAACGCTACAAACACAATGGTAAACACAACAGCAAATAATTATACCGGCTCGGTCGTCGCTCGGAACAACAATGACCGCATTGCAGCTTTGGAGACTAGGAGCTGCAATGAAAAGTTTGTTACTGAGTCCCAAAAATGGTGAAATGAAGATAAAATTCACAGTTAGAATTTGGAATGTGAGGTCACTGTGGCAAGCTGGAACATTTGCAATGCTGAAAAAAGAGCTTGAGAGGTTTAGATATGATGTGATTGGTCACCCAATGTAGAGTTTTCCCAAGTGCAGAAATTGGATCAGATTATCGCCTTGTCTTATTGTCACCATGAAGATAAAACAACAATTTAAAATGGAAAAAAGAGATACAACACAGAAATGATAAAGCAGAAGATGGGGGATATAAAAAATAAAATCGAACATGAATTGGACTCAGCATTCAATTACAATATGAAAACAAAAGTTAGCAACTTAGAAAAAATTCTCAAAGCAGCAGGTGAAAGTTGTAAATTTAAAACGAACAAAATAAAACCGTGGATAAGCGATGAAACATGGAAGCTTAGGGCGGCGTGATGGCTCAATGGTTAAAGGCGCCTGGTCTTGCTATTGCATTGACTGGGTTCGAATACAAAGAGATCCCCGCCTATCATATGCAATGTGTATGATGCGTGGTTTGCACGCGTATTCATATACGCTGTGTGTGTTTGTCGTTGAAACCTCTGAAGCAAACGCAAAAGAGAGAGAGAAACCTCTAACCTTTAACCTTTATAGAAAAAAGAAAAAGTTTGATAATAACAAAAAGATAGAGTGAAAAAAATAAGATGAAATACAAAAAAGTCTGCCAAAAAATAAAAAAGAGTGCTAGAACAGATAAAAGAAGATGGATTAATGGTATATGACTATATGTGAAGAGGTAGAGACGATGATCTGGCAAAACAAAACAAAAGAGGCGTACCAGCTGGTTAAACAGTTAAAAGAAAAACAGAAAAATATGTCAAGGGTTATAAAAGATAAAAACGGAAACATTCTAACAAAAAGTAAAAAGATTAAAGATTGATGGACTGAATATATTAAAGACTTGTTCACAGACAAGAACACATACAAAAAAAACGCTTGAAATTTTGATAAGCAGAAAAATAATCAATGAAGAAGAAAGTGAAATAACTGTTAAATTTCTTGTCACTTAGATCGTTAAGTTAAGTTCGACTTCAGAATTTAACGGTCTAACAGTTTTTGCAACAAGTTTGAACAAACCTCCATTGTTGTTTCTTATTCCAACAACACTTATCACATTGTCAATAAGTAGATGACAACTTCTTGAGGTTGAAACAAAAGAGCTATTTCTGTTCTTATCTTGAGTTGCAAGTACTGAGAACAAATTTTTTTTTACTTTTGGCACATACAAGACATCTGTAAGTTTAACAGTTTGCCATCTATTATTTACTTTCACTTGAAGATGAATAATTCCTTTTCCAAAAGCTTCTACAGTATCACCAGTTGCAACATATAATTTACTCGGTTGAGAAAATTTTTCAAAACTTTGAAATATGTCTCTTCGGAAAGTTAGATGACACGTTGCACCATTGTCAAAAAACCATTCATCAGTGTACGCTGACTCATCAATTGCAAAAACACTTGATTCCATAACAACTAGTGACTTATTGTCATCGCGTAGATTGTTATTTCTTGGTTTTGCTGGTCTACCATCAGAATGCCATTTTTCACAATTTCTTACAATGTGACCTGGCAATTTGCAATAATGACATATTAGCCACTTTGATTTGCTGACAAATGTATCTTGTTTCTGACCATTCATGTTTTAAGATGACTTTTCAGTTGTTGCTTTGACAAATAATACTTTATTACTTTCAGTTTTGCCTTCCAAGGATCTCTCACAGCTACACAATTGATCTGTGAGTGTTTCAACTGTACTTTCAGTCTTGTTTAACAATCTCCAACTTGCAGCAAATGAAAAATATTTTTCTGGCAAAGTCTCAATTATTTGACACATCAGCAATAAGTCACTGTTTTCATCTTTTCCTAACTCGACCTTTAAAACTTTCTAAAGATTTTTGAGTTTTGTAACATGAGTGACAACATCATCACTTTCATCCATTTTATAACTAAAGAACTTCATGCATAAGTTGTATGCTTTATCTTTATTAATTTCATCATACAATCTATAAAGTTCTAACCAAACATCTCTGGCATTGCTGAATGAACGAACTTTTTCATACGTTTCATCGGTAATGTTGGTTGACAAATAATCATAGCACTACAATCTGCTTTATTGAATCTGTTCAAAGCAGTTTGATATTTTGCTATCTCATCTTTATTTGAGTCATCGTTTAATTCATCTGGAACTTTTAATTTGCCATTTACTACGTCCATTGCATCAGAAATGCCGCGTAGTGTTATACAAACTCTCGATTTCCAGTTCAACCAATTAATTTTGCCTTCTAGGTGTTTGATTTGCACTTTTGTTAGAACCATTTCTTCCTTGTCTTTCAATTTGACCTTTTGATTAGAAGCAAAACATAAAATTTAAGAGAATGAAAAAGCACGTGTTTTCTCTTCACTTCAGTCTTCAAAGAAAATCTTCTGATATTTCTTTATTCTAAATTTTCTTCGTCAAATCAATTAATTAAGAAAAACGTTATCTGGGTCCCATAACCTGTTAAATTTCTTGTTACGTAGATCGTTTAATTAATTGATATAATATTGAAAGACATTAAAAGAAGAGAAATAAACCAAGCAACGTCCCCGACTTGTTTATTATTCACCGGATCAACAGAAAGGAAAAAGTGAAGTTACATACAAAGCAAAGAACATTTGGTCCAAAAAAAAATAAATGTATATTATAAATCATAATGTTTTAATATAAAACATAAAACTTAACAATAACGAGAGAAGAAATTACAAAAGCAATGATTAAAATGAAGAACAACAAAAGTACGTTGAAGGATGGTATTTCGATAAAACTGATAAGAGCAGGAGGACAAGTCGTCTGTCAAGAAATTTGGAAAGGTGGAAAGTGGCCAGAAGAATGGTGCAAGTCAGTTTTGGTTATGCTGCCGAAAAAGGAAGACCAAAAAGACTGTAATAATTACAGATCAATTGCACTAATTCAGCACATATGCAAGATCACGCTAACCATCATAAAAGAACGACTGGAAAAGGTCATAGAGCAACATCTGCATAAAGAACAAGCAGGCTTCAGAAAGGATAGAAGCACGATCCAACAAATTCTGATGTTGAGACTGCTGATGGAAGTAGCGGTCAGACAATCTACCATTGCTTTGTTGAATTTAAGAAAGCGTTTGATTCTGTCTAGCATGATGGTTTGTGGACAACATTAGAAAGTATGGGGACATCAGAAAAGCTGGTCAAAATATTGAAAGGGCTGTAATAAAAATCAAAAATGTCTATAATAATAGGTACAAAACTTGGGGATTGGATAAAGGCAGACATTGAAAGCAGACAGAGCAATCCAATATTACCAATACTATTCATAGCATTGTTAGAAAGAGCAATGGAAAAAATGGAAATTTCGGAACAGGGTGGAATTGACATAGGAAGGAGAACTCTTAAAAATCTCAGGTTTGGAGATGATATAGACCTTTCTAGCTTCCAGTGAAGAAGGTTTACAGAAGCTAATTGAACTAGCACGTTGGTTGAAAAGATCAATGCGGAATTTCAAATAGAATCAAAAATATTTGAACAAGTAGACAAGTTTGTGTATCTTGGTAGTTTTATAGCCTGTGACAACAACTGCACAAAAGAAATTGACAGAAGAATAGCAATAGCCCATGGAATGTTCGCATCATTGAGAGGAAATATGAAAAGGTGGAAATATATCTATAAAAACAAAGTTGAGAATTATAGAATCTTGCGTTTTTCCAAGCTTGCTCTATGCATGTGAGACATGGACAATAAAAAAAAGGACAAAGGCAGATTAGAAGCATTTGAGATGAAATGTTACCGAAATTTGTTGAGAATCAGTTGGAGGCAGAAAGTAAAGAACGAAACCATCAGAAATTAACTTGGAAGACAGAAAAGTGTATATGACAAAGTCAGAGAAAAAAATTGGTGTTTTTTGGACACATTTGTAGAATGAAGGAAGACAGATTGATTAAGATGGTATTAATGAGGAAAATAGATTGGAAGAAAAAAGTTGGTAGACTTGGATAAATAACATTACTGAATGGACTGGCGTTGGTATTCTAAATTCAAAAAAATTGGCCAAAGTTAGAAAAGGTTTTTAGAAAGAAAAAACAAAAAATTTAAAAAGCATGTGTAAAATCTGATGATAACAGCAACCAAGCTCGGCACGTCAATGGAAGAGGCGGTAGGGGAGAACACCGCGGCATCCTCCACGGTGTCGACGAAAATTCTACAATTGGCGCCCAACGTGGGGCTTCTTCCTTTTCAAGCAATATGGATAGCGCTGGACATCACGGGACCGCACCCCAAATTGAAGAAGGGCAACGTTTACATTTTGACGATTCCAGATCATTTCACAAAATGGGCCGAAGCATTTCTGTTGAGGAAGAATACGGTGACATCAGTTGCCAAAATATTAACTACAGAAATTTTCCCTAGGTTTGGAATGCCGAGGCAAATCCTTACGGATCAAGGTCGTGAGTTCGAGAGCTGTCTGTTCAACGAATTACTCTGCAGATTCGACATCGAGAAGATACGCACGTCACCGTATAATCCATCTGCTAACGAAGCAATCGAAAGGTTTCACAGGACGCTGAATTCGATGTTGGCGAAGGTAGTACAAGACTCACACAACGACTGGGATGCGTGACTTCCTTTTGTCATGACGGCTTACAGAGCAAGCGTGCATTCTGCAACGGGTTTCACTCCGAACCGTTTGTTTTTAGGTAAAGAGAATGTCATGCCAATCGACCTTGTTTACCAGCTGCCTAGCAACGTGACGAACATTGGTTCGCATAGCGAGTTTGTTGACAAAATACAGAAAAGTATCCTGAAGGTGCATCAGCTGGCGCGTGAACATCTCAAAGCAACGGCCATGTACCGCAAACTGCGGTACGACACGAAAGTTACAACGTTGAATTTGAAGCCCAGAGAGAAAGTATGGTACTTGTATCCTAAGGCTAAGGAGGGAAGGTCACCCAAGTGGATCAGCCCATACGTCGGACCATATACGGTCAAACGTCTGATTCCGCCTTGCAACGTTGTTATTCGAAAATCGTGCAAATCAAAACCATTAGTAGTGCACGTCAACAAACTGAAATCAATTAGTTAATAAAATGTTTACCAATAATAATAACGATAGTAAAACCATAATCTTAATTTTTTAAAAAATAATTATGTTAATTAATAAAGAAAAAAATAAATAAATTCGATAAAACGTTTTGTAGGTATACAGGAATGGAACAGTGCACGTTATGTGGGAGGAGGATGCAGAAGAAGAGCCTGCAGCGACACGGGGCGAGATGTATGGCAGTAATGAAGCCAGGAACTGTGCTGGACAAAGAGTTAAAAGCAGTTGGCCGATGGTTGGCATATCAGAGCCTAGCGAACGATCTATGGTTGACGGAGATGAAAGCTAATTTTCCCTTAATAGATCTGTAGAAAGGATTTGTTATTGCTAGGGCAGCGATGTGAACTAACGGCGCGTCTTCTGCCCGGGTTTGATATGGGTCAGGGTACAAGAGAACTACCAGGTAAAGAAAAACTCGTTGCAAAAGCCAGAAAGGTGGTCAAGCAATTTCTGGTTTTTGACAGCCTTTCACCCATGGAGCCCAGCGTAGAGAAGTGTTTGGATCCGGAAATTACAGTGTCACATGGTAAACAATCAACAGCGGCAGTTTCATCTGATACGAAGAATGCTGAAAGCCAGACGGAGAACTTAGAAGAAGTCCCGTCTAAACTTTCCGCGATCAACCACACGGAAAACTTAGGAGGAGCCCGGTCTGAATTTCCCGCGACCAGTCAGGAATCCGGTGCGATGATGCACGATAAGGCGTGTACAGAGGTTGCTGACGGATTATTTCTGGTAGAGCACAAGATGAAGACAAACGCATTGCAATCCAATTGGGAGAATGGATTTGCTGAGATGGATGAATGGGAGCCTGTCATCGAGGACCGGCGGGAAGGACGATGCTCATCAAACGTTGTGTTAATGACGCCAAACGTGTTGGTGGATCAAGACAGCGGATCCAACGCGAGCAGCCCCTGCCAAAAAAAATGAAGCGGCCGTCACGAAGGGATCAGCCACCCGAGAATGAAATGTTCCTAGACCTTGGGTTGGGTGAGGACGACTTTTGATACCGGTTGAGCAAACGTCGAGGACGACGTTCAGTAGAGGGAGGGCTTTGTAAAATCTGATGATAACAGCAACCAAGCTCGGTTAAACTTAGGCCCGGTTATAGTTGATGAACAAATACAGGCGCGTACGTTATGCGCACACTGTGATTCTGAACTATTTTTATCCTGTGACACACTTTTACAGGCTTTGCGGAGTCTGTCGATGGTCAACAACCAATAGTGATCGAGCACGCCTAAACTTTGGTACAATTTCCAATAAAGAACAAAGACATGATGCAAACAGCTTAAACTTTTGTTCACTGTAACCTACTTTCAATCGAGTGTTACTGTATGTATGACGAATAAAGGTAGGCGCATTCGCGATGTATGGAAATGATGAGCTCACACAAGAGGCGCCAGTTTATACATTTGGTGCCGTATTTGTTCGCCGATGAACGTTTCGATATCGTCCGATATAAATTGTATGTCATAATCGGATGTATGAAGAAATGAAGAAGGCAAAGGCTATATATACTCCAACAAAGGGGGAGACAAATGAAGAGATTCATTCTGGCGTTGGTTTATTGAATCATTCAGATATTCAGGTCAACGGGGACGAGGAGGCCATCGACTTTGTGAGGGAAGTACATCATCATCCGAAGAAGTTCGTTCGAAGTGTATCGTTTTCCGAAGAAATTTATCCGAAGCGCATCGTCATTTGAAGAGGTTTATTCAAAGCGCATCATCATCCAAAGAAGTTTGTTCGAAGTGCATCATCGTCCGAAGAAGTTCATTCAAAGTGCATTCGAAGCGCAAAGAAGTTTGTCCGAAGTGCATCATCATCTAAAGAAGTTCGATCGAAGTTTACTATCCGACGGTACATCCCATTAAGTTAATTAAACTATAGATTTTAAATAATAATAATAATAGTCACAACAATAATAATACTAGTAATAAAATAACAACAAAAATAATACGGAAAGACTTTCATTTATTAACATCTTAATTGTGTGATTATTAATCATTATCAATAATATTTATAAAGAATTAATTTGTAGTATTGTATTTTTAAAATATTAAAATTGAGTCAACGCTTGAAAGAAGACTTGCGAGCGTGCGGAAAGGCCGGTCCATACGCAAGAAGGGCGAAACATCTCTTTTGCCCGGCCCGTATATTGTACTAGTTGAAGAGATGTAAACTTTCAAGACAGAAATCAAAAAATCGTGGATTGAAATTTTTGGTCAGGAAGTAAGAAAAAACATTGATGCGTTGAATGATTAGGTAAAAATTTGTAAGAAAAAGAAAAAGATGTTTACGGTGTAAAGAAAAAAGAAAAAAATGTAATTTTGTTTCGTTTGGCTGAGGGCAGTAATGGCAAGCGTCAGGTCATGAAAATTGTTGGCCATATGACTGATGTTTATATCACTGATAAAGATATTTTGAAAATAGCAAGGCTGGGCAAAAAAGTCGAAAGTGGGATTAGATCGCTATTAATTATGTTTGAAAACGTGAAAACTAAAGATTTCATCATGAGTAATGTTTTTAATGTCAAATCGTTGGATGATGAATTGAAGAGTGTTGTAATTAGTATGACCTATCGGTTACATGTTACAATTCCGAAACTTCAAATAAAAATGTAATATAAAAAGTCAGAGGGAAAAATTCAAGGTTGCGGTGGAGGCAAAGCAGAGGTAAAAATTCAACTGACATTTGTAATTTTAAGTATAATAATTATAGATTTGGTATTTGAGAATTCAATTTTAGAAGATATTATGATTATACTACTAATAAACTTTATTTCAATGATTATAGATCTAATTTAAATTTAAAAAATGGTAATAGTAAGGGTATATTTATAATGGTTGATAAAGGTAAATAGAGAATGATTATGTTTCCAATGTGAATGTTAATAATGTGCTAATTATGTTAATAATTTGGGTGATCCCAGTCATGGAAACATAATTATTTTCTGTCAATCTGTTTTAAATACATAAAAATCACTCTAAGAAATGTCTTTACTTTTGAAGTTTTAGCAATTAAATTCAACACAAATAATCAGGATTTTATTGTTTTGGCAGTTTATAGACAGTTTTTTAATTAACAAACATCAGTATTAGAAAATATTACAGTTCTTAATCTTAAGATCTTGATGGCAGGAGATTTAAATATTCATATAGAAAAAACAAATGTTCCTTATGTTGCCAATTTATTTGAGATTCTTGAACTTTTCCAGATAATCAATCATATTATTTTATTATATTAATGATTTATCGGTTTTTTATCACGCTGTCTTATTAAACTCTACTGTGTTATATTCGACTGAATAATAAATATATATATATAAGTTATAAAATAATAAAAATACACGTAATCTTTGATTGTTTTCATCTTTATTGTACGTTTGAAATCTATAAGAGAACTAGTAACAAGAATACTACCAATACTAGATGTACCATCATTCTTCTCCATTCTCTTCTTTTTTTTCCTCCTACCTAATTTGTTCCTAACTATTTTATACTATCAATATCTAGTCTTAGGCAATGTTATCTATTAACTTATAATATATAAAATAAACGACATACGTATAAGTTTAAAACTTTGCTAGCCAATAGTTTGAATATAAAGTCTTCGCATTTGTTTATGTTAACAGAGTGGTTGTTGTTTGCGTATAAAGTCACACCAAATTTGTTTAATCAGAAAAGTCAGAGGAATCAACAATTTTGTTGAAAGTATGCGGTTAAACATCTATACGGTGTTAACACCGTGTTATCTTCTTGGCCTTCGTCATTTGCTGTTAAATCGCTTTCTACTTATTAAAATATTTAATAGTGTAGTAAACGAGTTGTCAATACTCAAATTAAATTTCAATTTTTAATTTCGTTTACCGGAGTTTTGTTTGCTATATTTCATTATCGCTCATGTCCGAGAAGTGTCTGAAGTGGAGCCGTACTGAGCTTTTAAGCTTTCTTCCACAAATAAATTCTTTTTACATATCAAAGGCCTGTCGGAAGACTCAATTTCCCTTTAGAATCTGGAAACCAAGTTCCCCACGTTTGGCTATGTTTAAAACGCTCGAATCTTTGAAAAGGAAAAACATTAGCAAACTCAGACAATCCTAAAGTGCGGACTTTTGAATGTAAGATCGGCTGTAAACAAAGCCCCATTGCTTGATGAAGTTATACAGGCAAATAACTTAGATGTTTTCATCATCATGAAAACATGGGTACCTTCCGACGCTCCAAATGCCATAAAATATTGTTTGGTCCCATCTTGCACCGTCATCGTGGCTCATCACAGGACAAACGTGGAGGAGGTCTGGCAGTTGTGCACAGCAACCTACTCAAAGCCACCTTGATTGTTGATGACATGAAATATCTTGGCTTCGAAAATCTTTCAGTTAAATTCAATACATATTCATCATCTTTCATCATCAGCTCAATCTACAGACCACCAGGTCACGTTTCTACAGATTTTATAAATGAATTTAGTGATCATGTCGACACCATCATCAATTTCAACATCCCATTCATCATTTGTGGTGATTTCAATGCACCGGGGCAGCCTCAAAGTCATTGAACAGCATCTTGAATCAACAATTGAAGTCTTTGGGTTTTTTCAGCATGTCAACTCTTCCACCCATTCTCATGGTAATATACTAGACCTTGTCATATATGCATCATAAATAACGTTGGAGTCATGGACTGTGTTTTTTCTGATCACAGCCTTGTGACCTTCGATACTACATTATCAAAGCCAAAACCTCCAATCGTTGTTCGTCAGCGTCGTAGTTATCGTCGTTTTAGTTCAACTGCTTTTCAACAAGAACTCTCTGATGTATTCTGCGATGTACTTTCGCGTGGTGATTATGACGTGGACGACCTTACATCCGCTATCCTCACATCTACAACCAATCTCTTTGACAAATATGCACCTTTTAGACGTTTGTCTCTACGAGGCAGCAATCGTTTAAGACATCAACTTTTAATTGGTGCGATAAATGCAATTCGGATCTGCCGTCGATTAGGAAGACAGTCAAAGCGATTTTGCTCAGAAATCATAAAAACGGAATACAAAAAGACTAAAGAGATTGCTAAAACGTTAATTATGCAATCCAAGATTGACTCCATCAAAGAAGAGCTTCATTCTAAAAGTAATCCTCGTGATCTCTAGCGATCATTCAACAACCTCCTTTCTCGTCCGCCACAACACTATTCTGATGATGAGTGCCAAATCCTTGTCAACTTTTTCGCAAATCATTTCATATCAAAGATAAATAATAAACATCAGTCAATCGAAGACAATATTAAAACAGATAACATAACACCTTTCAAACACAGACCACAATCAACAAATATATTCGACGCTGATGGCAAACAAATAAACTGGATCACAAGACAAATAAAAAAGAAATTAAAAACAAATAAGGACGACTGGATAAAATAAAAATGTGTAGAGATACAACAACATTTTTAATATAACAGAACAAAAAAAGCATAAAGGAGAACAAAGGACCGGTATTTATACAATTGAATTAACCACAATAAAAAATAGAGATGGGAAAATATTAACAGACTGTAAACAAAATTCAGGAAAATGGAAAGAACATTTTGAAAATCTTTACAATTGCAAACTGGCAGTAGAAACCAAAAGTCTGGAGAAAATTCCAAATATGGTAAACAAAATAAGAACAAAAAATTTTTTCGAAAAAGAAGTAGAAAAAACCATAAAAGACCTGAAAAAAATAAGGCACCAGGTATAGGTGAAAAAAATGCAGAAATGTTTAAAAGACGAGGGAAAACAATAATAAAAGCACTCCATGAACTAATACAAAAATATTCCACCAAGAGATGATACCTGCGGACTTGGGGAAAGGAGAAATTATTTCTATATATAAACAGAAAGGAGACAAAACAGATTGTAAAAACTACAAAGTGCTAGATAACACTGTTGAGCATATTTGGCAAGGTCTACACTAAAATGTTGCAAAGAAGACTGTTCAAAAAATTATAGGGTAAGAGCAAGTAAGATTTCCTCCAGGCAGGGGTCTCGTGGTCAAGTGGTTGGCGTGTCCGTCAACCACTCCCACGACCAGGTTTCGAATTGAATTCTGCAGTTTCTACAGGTTCATCCGGGTAGCCGACCCCCGGTCAACCCAGCCGTCCATCCTGTTACATTGTAAGTGGTTTTGTGTATGTCAGAGTTGCAATAATAAAGACTAATAAAAAAAAGTTTATTCTTCGACAAATAATGGAAAAGTATATTGATGCAAACCAAACCTGTTTTATCAATTTTATAATTTATAAACAAGCTTTTGACTCAGCAGGCAATGCGAAATGCAGGAATAGAAGAGAAACTAATAATACTCATCAAAGCAATATACCAAAAAATTTTAATTGCTGTAAAAGTAGATAAAGCACTTTCAGGCTGGTTTAAGATCGAGGTGGGAGTAAGACAAGGATGTAATCTATTCCCAACATTATTTTTCATCTTGCTGGAAAAAGTATTCCAAGTCGCTTTGGAAAATGTAGATATTGGAGTAAAATGTGGAAGCACAAAGCTGAACAGTCTAAAGTTTGCTGACGATGTTGGATTACTGAAAGAATCTGAAAAAATTTACAAAATCTTACCACAAGAGTCAACAAAGCAAGTAAATAATTTGGATTAACTATTAACGCAGAAATGAATTGTTTGAGACAGATCGTAGGTATAAGAAGAATCCAAAAATTAAGAAACGACAAGGTCAAAAGAAAACTTTGTAAAGAGAGCAATATAATAATAAGAATCCGAAAAAGAAGATTAACTTGGTTTGGACATGTAAACAGGATGAACTTAGAGAAATTATCGTATAGAGCCTTATTCAACCATGTAGAAGGTAAGAAAAGAAGAGGTCATCCAAAAAAGACTTGGACTGACAACATCAAAGAAAACTTCAAAATAAATAACACGAACATCGCAGAAGCCGAGAAAATAACCACAATGAATTCAACATTAAGATGAATCTGTTAATACGTGGATCTTACTGGCTAAATTTACTCATTGCTGAGTTGCGCTGGAAAACTAAGTGACATTTGGATTGCAAAACAAGGTGCTCGGGAATCAGTAGATGATAACTTTTTCAGAAGGCATTCACTTGTTTTCACCGCTGATCTGGATAAAGATGACATCAACTATTATTCAGCCGCTTGGCAAAGTTTAAAAGATGACATTAAAACAGGAGTGACGTACATGCAACTGGGGGGGGGGGGTAACATTGTTGAAGGCCGCGACAGCAGTAAAAGCTTACATTTCAAACAGTAACCGTAACGATTTAGAGAATTCATTAATGGCAAAGTTTGCAACATTACTTAATACAGTTCAAAATAAGATAGAAAACAAACTCAATGGCAGTGAGAACGTGAGCACACTAACACATAATTCAAGAAGCGATAAAATTATAGAATTATATAATGAACAATTTTAAAAATTTGCATCCGCAGATTTTTGTTTATTATCTGATGATGCAACAATGTTAACATCAGCTGACAAGATTGATGAATTGGATCGAAAGACTAATGACGGCCTAAGTAAGGTGCAAGAATGGTCATCATTAAATGCGTTGAGGATAAACATTAAAAAACAAAATATATAATTTTTAATAACAGCGGAAAAAATAATACCAATAACTTGACTTTAAAAATTGATGATGCTATCTTTGAAAAAGTAGATTATTTCAAGTTTTTGGATGTATATATAGACTCAAAATTAAATTTCAAACAACACATTAATTAGATGAAAATTAAAATTAGAAATTAAATAAAATTTAAATTGTTTTATATGTTGCTTTTGCTGTTTTTACACATGTTTATAATCTCAATTTCTATTCTTGCACTCGATTGCTTGTTACGTAGAGTACAAAAACTAATTAAGTGTTACACTTTTTTGAGGTGTCCTTTTCATGTTACTCAATACAATTTTTCATAAATAAATGATTAAATAAAAATAAAATAAATAAAAATAATTATAATTATTATCGAGGTTAATTTTGTCCGCATTCAAAGTCATCTTCATTTTCGTCGATACCGCAACGCTGAAGTAAGAATTTTAAAATTTTTTAAGAGAACAGACATGAAAAGCAAGTTAGATTTAATGAAGTTGACCAACACAGAGCATTTAACAACAAATGTAACGCTGCGGAAAACAAGACTCTAAGAATTAATTTTAGCCTTTAACAAACAGTGTTACAAGTATTCCAAGTATAACCATTTCACGACAGTTTGTCGTTTGAAGACGACATGACGATCATGCACTACTCATACCTGCTAAAAGCCGCAAAATTTCATACACGTCATAAGAATCACACATTTCAAACAAATAGCAGTAATAAGATTCACATTAGCATATGCAATCACCATTTTAATGGCTTATTGATACTGGTGCTAAAATTTCATCCATTCACGAAAAAGTTGCAACAAAATTAAATTTATTAAAACAATTAGATAAAAACAATATTTTAGAAGTACATAGCGCTGATGGATAACTAAAAAAAGTGTTAAGCCTAATCAACATACGTTGAAATTCAACATTTAAAATTGCATGTCACGTTTCACGTTACACGTAATCTATGTAATAGGAATAGATTTTTTAAATGATGATAATGCAAAAATAAATATTAAAAATAATACAATTTCATTTTATAACTACTTTCTTATCTCAAATATTAATGATAATGATGATAAAAAATAAATATATTTTTAGTGCAGAAAAAATTTCAGTTTCTCCACACACAGAAACAACATTTAACGCTCATTCAACACGTAAACTTTATATTAATAAAACATAAATAGTATAACTTAAGAATAAATCTATGGCACGCACATATTTGTTTGTAAATGAATCTGCGATAAAATTGTGCCAAACCAATGAACGAACATAGAGATTTCAAATTATAGGGAACAGAGAAATTTTGGATCAATTTCATTTTGTTTAGATCTGTTTTCAATACATATCTGTATTATAATAACTAAGATGCAAAACTTTGTTTTTTGCGAATTGTCATTTCCTCGGATGAAGTTTAAGTTTTGCGTCTCTAAAACATTGGAATATTTCATTTAAATGTTCGACAAGATCCACCCCTCCATTGGAAAAGCAAGTTATATCGTCTACATACACTAAGCAAGTTATGTTTGTTAATTGTTTAAATACTGATTGTGGTAAGAGTTGAAAAAACGGTGAATTTGCTAAATCTTGCGACAATCTTATAAATTCGTAATGACCGTCGTAATTACTAAAAGCTCTTTTGTGAGCTGTTGCAGTATCTAACAGTAGCTGGTAGAAATCTGATAGTAAATCTAACACAGAAGAATGTTTGGTTTTGCGTTAGAAATACTTTCAATAACGTCATCGAATGTTGGTAGCGGATAAAATGATTGTTTAGTAACAGTGTTTAAAAATCAGTAATCAATTACGAATCAATTGGTTCCATCTTTGGCATTCGGAATTTTTGGTCCCAGAGTTTTCGATCTCAGAGTTTGGTCCCATATTTCACTATATAAGAATTTTCGGTCTCAGAGTTTTCGGTCCGTGTCTTTGGTCTGGGATTTCACAATATAGGAATTTATTAAAAAAACATATTACTGAAAGTTATGTAAATATTTCTACGCCACGCATTTTATTAACTACACCCAATTTTTTAAATATGCTAATAGATTTTTAGATAACATTGTTGGCATGGATCTTTGCCTCATTTTTTACATTTTTTAATGTACTAAAAACCGGACCGAGAATTTCTATATGGTAAAATCTGTGACCAAAAAATCCAGGACCGAAAACTCCGGAATAAAAAATTCAGGGACCGAAAATTCCTATGTAGTGAAATCTGGGACCAAAAACTTCTTTCTTTCTTTTTTCTGTTTTTTCTGTACCAGTGATACATTAGTACTCCAGTTCTCTATCACTTTGTATTATTAAACTCTACTGTGTTATATTTGACTGATAGATTATAAAGTAATAAAAATACACGTAATCTTTGGTTGTTTTCATCTTATTGTTTGTTTGAAATCAATAAGAAAACAAGCAACAAAAAACTCTACCAATACTAAATCTATCATCGTTCCTCTCCTTTCTCTTCCCTTTTCCTCCTCGTGCCTAGTTCGTTTCAAGCTATTTTATACTAAGTAGTCTTGAGCTATGTTATCTATTAACTTATAATATATAAAATATGTAACACACGTGCATATTTAACTAGCTAATAGGATGTATTGTATGTGTGATGTGTGCCATATAATAATTTAAATGAGCCAACAGAGGTTTTGGGTGAAACATTGAATCTAGTTGTATGATTTAAGTTGTTGTAGGTATACATTGGGCTTTGTTGGTAGTATTTAAATAAAAAGCGTAGATTAAAATCCATGTGCTCATATCTAATATGTGATAATAATTTAAATGTCCAAGAAACAATAATAATATAAAATAGTATTAAAAAAATAATAAAAAAATAATAAAAAAATAAAATAAATAAATAAGTACAATAATAATAACAACAACAATAAAAGTACCACATCGATAACAAAATAATCGAATATATATAGATGCAATATGTATCTGTCTATCAATCCAACGTATAGTCCTTATCGCCGGTTCCAATGACCACCAATTTACCCATCACACCATCCGTCACTTCATACCGGCCATCACTAATCCAACTTCACGACATTGTCCACTGCAGACAAGCCTCGTAGCTACACCATCCTTGTCAACCCTGAAAACTATTAGAAATAAATGTAGTTAGTTCCAAATTAGTTAATTTAACACCTACTGGTGTTGGGAATCTATGCCAAAATCTTAGAGTTATAGACGGTCATTTTCTTACTTAATTATTAACATAATGAAGTCTCAAGTGCAGAAAACAAATAAATAAAACTGAACAAACACACCCGCCCAATTAACAACAACTTCACAATTGACTGGTGCGTATCATGTCGGAAGCGACACTACCAATTCTCAGCACCTCAGACACACAAGTGCACCTAACATAGAATGTGTATCATATATATCGTTACCATTGCCTATATAACTAAACCAGTGAATACATCAACACAAAGCGTATAAGCACATACACATTGCTACACACACATCTGCACATCACCCACGAATACACACAAATACATTCCAGAGGATTGAATGTTTATCTAGGCGCTTCCGCTCTCCAGTTGTATTTAAAACTTTCATTCTTTCAATATTCATCCAAGGAATTTTTAAATCTGTCAACAGTGGCACAGTTCACTATATTGGCAGGTAATTTATCTCACACAAGAATGATACGACAAGTAAAAAAATGCTTTCGCAAGTTACCTTTGAACCCGATATTCCTAAGTTTTTTATCATGTCCTCTTGTTCTCTCATTTAAGTACAAAAACATTTCAAGATAACAATCTTGATCATTCAGGTCAAAAAAATTTTTAAACAACAAAATCAGATCTCTTCTAACTCTTCGGTACTTCAACGTTGGCAACCCCAAATATCTAAGCCTATCCTCATAGTTTAGTCCCCTGCATTCCCTTATCATTTTTGTTGCTCTCTTTTGAACCCTTTCAATATGCTCTACCATTTCTACCTTCCACGGCAACCAATCTGGAACTGCATATTCTAGAACCGACCTTATCATTGTTTTATATAAAATCAAGAAAGAACTTTTATTGAGATATTGAAAACGCCTGTGAATCATGCCCAACATATTTTAACCCTTCTTTACAAATGTAAAAATATGATCATCAAATTTTAAATTATTATTAAATGTAACACCCAAATTTCTAAAATTATTCACACAATCGAGATTTAAATCATTTTTACAATACAAATTTTTATCATTATTCTTGCCAAACCTCATGCTAACACATTTTTCCACATTCAAAAAAACATCATCCCTCTCATACCATTTGACAATCAAATCCAAAACATTCTGGGTAATTCTGACATCATCATGAGATTCGATTTGTTTGAACAATTTTGCGTCATCTGCAAACAAAAACAATCCAACACCTTCACTATCAGCACAAACATCAAACAAATCATTAATGTAAATGATAAACGAAATTGGCCCCAACACGCTCCCTTGAGACACCCCACTTTGCACACAACGCCAATCCGATCGAACATCATTAACCACAACAACAAATTTTCTTTTCTTCAAATACTCTCTAATCCAACTAATTATTTTATCATCAACTCTGTATAGAATTAATTTTTGTACCCATTTTATATGGAACACTTTATCAAAAGCCTTCTCAAAGTCTGTGTAAATAACATCCACCTCCTTCCCATTGTCCACCGCATCCGGCCAATTATCCAATATTTTCAACAACTGCAAAGTCGTGGATCTACCCTTCATAAATCTATATTGATATGAACTAAACAAACTGTTATCGTTAAAATGCAGCAACAGTGCTTCTTTAACAAAATGTTCTAAGACTTTACATGAAATACAACTTAGTGATACCGGCCGATAATTTTTAACACAAAAAGGCGATCCTTTCTTAAAAATTGGAACGACATAATTTAATTTTTAATCACTTGGTAAAAACCCAGAATTTAAAAAAAATTTAAATGAAAAATTTAGATATTCACACACTGAACCGGCACATTCTACAAGTACACGTGAAAATAAGCCATCAGGGCCTGCAGATGTAAATTTATTCAATGAAACTAATTTAATGTAAACTGAATGGTTTGAAATTTGTAATTACATCATTTCTTTAATATCATATTTATTTATTACAACTTCATACTGAACACCATCCCCGTTGCTATAAACGCTAGCAAAAAATGAAGCCAGAGCGTTAACATAATCAACATCACCAACCAAAGTAGTTTCATTGCCTTCATCATCTTTATCAACCAAACAGTCAAGATTATCCCTATTATTACCTAGTTTACGTATGTGATTCCAAAATACTTTAGGATTTTATTTGATTTTATTCGACAACTATAACATGCTGTCTATTTTTAATTTTAATATTTTGCTTTTGATGGAATTCCTCAAAGTTTTATATTTTATAAAAAAAATTGTTGTCCTTTGTTTTTAAATATCTCCCCCACACTCCCACACTCTATTCTTCTTCTTAATATTATCCAACAAATCAATTGGGAATTTGACTTTTGTACCAAGACTCCTATTAACACCGATTGGAATATACAGCCTCATCGAACTTACAATAACATCAACAAAATGTTTCCACACACAATCAACAAAATCCTGGTCAATCATATTGCACCACAAAAGACTATCATAACTATTGTCATACAAATATTTTTTAACATAACAGTTCATTTTTGAATAATCTGCTTTATTAAAGTTAAATTTATTTTGCTGACCCGGTTTAACATAAGCCTTAATATTAATCAAAAAATTTATTAAAACAACGTCGCTCTTACCAAGAGAACTCTTTAAATCTATATTGTGAATTAAATTTGTATCTTCAACCAAGTCTAAAATATTTTTAGTAGATTTATTCCTAAATCTAGTCGGTTCTCTTATAAGTTGGGATAGAAAAGAGTCTCGCACAAAATTTAAGAATTTTTGTTCCACCGATCTAACATTTTTTGTAGTTGTTATTTGCAGGGCACATCACTATTTATTCTATTTGTTTTTGGGCGATAATTAATGTACAATGTGACTTTTACTGTAACATGCTTTTTGGTTCGTTCAATTCGTTTCAATTCGTTTGGTTATAGAACGTTATATTTATTTTACGTAATAAATTAGTATACGTACATTACGCTTATTGTTTTCTATTTAGTTTGTGTTTCAACTCTTCAAAACAACGAAACACAACAGTAGTCATCATATTTTCCTAATCAATATTTGGAAAATTGAAATCCCCTACTATAACCTTAATTTCCTTAATTTTCATTAAAGCTATCAACAATTCAATCAACTTTAGATTGTTTGAATAAGCCGACGAAGGACTTCTATTTATTGTTAAGATAAATAGTGGTTTATTAACATTCACTATCTCAACACATAAAAATTCATTAAAACTAACATTTAAATTCGCAACCTTATATATTAAATGATCTTTCACATAGCAAAAAATACCCCTTCCACCATTAACCATAAAATTTGTTGCCAGTAACTTAAAACCAACCACTCCAAATTCAACCTCTCTATACTCTCGTGATATATTTTTTGGATTAGTTTCTACAAAAATAGCAACATCGTTTTTACAGTTTAATTGGTTTAAAACAACCTTAATCTCATCAACTTTATTAGTTATACAATCCACGTTGCTATATAACGTACCAATTCCTTCTCTAACATCAACCACTAGATTTTGATTTTGCGCGCCATTCGCACTAAACGTGGGTCTCCAGGCGTTCTCTTCACTCGGTATAAAAAACCACCATCAGTTTTTTCCTTCTCCTTGGCTGTTTCAACCAATTCTCTAGGCTTCTTTCTCTGCTCCACTGTCATATCATGTCCTATACCAATCTTGCGGTATGTTTCATCCATCCTCTCAAAATTAGATAAATTATCCATAACTAAATTGCAGCATGTTCCTTAAAACAACTCTGCTAGTCTTATCCTTTGCCGACATTTATTACAGCAACTATGAAACAAGACAAAAATCAAACTCTATAATTGCAACTAAACCTGTATAAACAAAAACCCTTCAATGCATTTTCCAATAAGTCGTTGTAATGTGTTTCCAAGCGGAGTTTTTTCTGATCACGGTTTTATTTAGGTAAAAAAATCCATGACAAGAGCACGCCAATCACAATCTAAAAAATTAATATGACCATGGAATCATAAGAATGAAAAACCTTTCATTGAATTGGTTCTTGAATCTCCAATTTCCAGTCTCTAAACCTTGTACAAGCGATGATGTTAATCTGGAATTTGATATATTCATCGATGAGTTATCTAGAATAGTAGATATTGTTGTTTCCTTCCAACTGGTGCTTCCCACGAGTGAGCATGTCACCTCGTGGTTTGACAGCCAATGCAAAGAAGCCAAACGTCTCTGCAGGAAAAAAAGAAAAAAAAGTAAACGAAGTCTTATCTGCCAGATCGTTATGAATGAATTCTTGCCCTGAAAAAATGCCTTACTGGAAAACGTAATAAATATTAAAAAAAATTATTGATGAAAATAGCAAAAGTCCTAAAAACATGTAGAGAATTATAAATAAAATTTTTCTCAACGACCGTATTAACAATCCTTCATGTGAATTAAATATCTCACGGCTGAAAAGTTCATGAATTTCTTCAATGAAAAAGGTTAAAAATGTAAAACAGGTCGCTGAGATTTTTCTGTCGATACCTGACGAGCAGTCTTGAATTTAGTGAAAAAAAGCGAATTTTGTTTTTCTGTAGTTAGTGATGTTGATGTTAAGAAAGAGATTCTCTATTCTCCAACAAAATCTTGCTAGATTGATCTTTTACCAACACATGTTTTTAAAGAGATACATTGATTTATTTTGCCAATTTGTAGCAAGTTTAAAAAATGTACGTTTGAAATTTGAACAATTTCCATCGAGGTATATCGAGGTTTTGGTATATCGAAGGGGATAATTAACTGGTTCAGAAGCTATTTGACCGGACGACGGACGCAGCAGGTCTCATTCAAAAACATGATGTTTTATGTCAGTGAAGTAATTTCAGGTGTAATACAGAGATCGGTGCTTGGCTCTATTCTGTTTTTACTTTGTACGTCCGAAGTGAATAAGTGATAGATTCATTCAATTTTCCAAGCTGCATGTGCAGATGCCATAAAGATTTTGATTATTAGTAAACAGAATCTGTTTCAGGTTGAGATTGAAAAATTTGTTGAATGTATGTCTCAAGTGATTTTATGGATGTCCAGAAATGGACTAAAGCTGAATCAGAATAAAAACAAACTTTTTCCAATAGGCACAATTATCAAATTTAACCCATTAATGCCCAAATTTTTTAACTCAATCAAAATGATTTTTTTATTAGCATTGACATAAAATAAAAATGTAAAAAACAATTATTCATCAAATTGAAAAAAAAAATAGTTTAAAAAAATGAGTTCAATGACTGCACCCTAATGAGGTGCAGTAGGCATAAATGTGTACATCAATGTCAAGGTGCATTTAAATAATTAAAATTAAAATCATTAAGTTTCAATCATATGCCATATTTCAAAACAATGATCATGCAATCCTATATTACATTTTTTGCACCCTTTTCTTGTGTTTTTGTGGCAGTGAGCGCATCGCTTCTAAGTTTCCAATTGGCTTTGAAAATGGTCAATCCTGTCAGTTCTAACATCAACGCTGACTCTTGTTTGCCGAAGTTAATTTTTCTTTAGGACGCCCAGGTGTACTTTTATGGTTTTGAAAATTGAAAAAACGAACTACAAACATATTAACGCCAAACATTCGGTAGAATTTATAGAATATTGTAAAAATATGTATATATATATGTATACAAATAAAATTATATATATATATATATCTATATATATATATATATATATATGAATATATACGACAAAGATGAAGAATCGGACGCCAACTAATCTAATAACTCAATTTGCTAAAGAACTAAGTTTGCTTTGTTTAAAGAAACTATAAACTATATAAACCAAACCTGAATTGAAGGGAATTTGTGAAAAACCAAAATAAGGATATATAATGATATAGAATTTGGATAACAACAGTATATAAATTTTCATGATGAATTTGAATAATAATTTTATTTTCAATAAATTTGATAATTTTCAAAAATTCTAGTAAGGAAAATTGAAAAGACAAACTTCAAATTGATTAATGCCAACAATTACATATATGCTTGCCTTAATTGGTTAGTAATCTTGCGTTTCAATTCGTTGAGTTAACAGACTTTTATTCTTTGATTATTTTTTCCTGTTAAAAAAATTTACAAAATCAGTCATTAAAACTAAATTTTTCGTGTCGTCGTGAATGCGACCAATTTAACAAGGTTTTCGTAAGTCTTTGAACCTCTCTACCTCCATGGACTTATAGAAGTAGTAAAAATCACGATGCTTTTTAAAACATAAATGCCAATTGTCCAAACGCAGCCGGTTTATATTTTATTGTCTTCTTGTGAAACCGTGTTGGTCCACACAACACTCAAACACAAAATGCTGCTTTTGTTTTTGCTCGGCCAACTCCTTGACGTCCCAGCGTATTATGCATAACTTGTGATCGTTTCCGATTTAACTATTAAAGTCACCTAAGACGAATAGCAGGTTCTTAAAAAAGTGCTAAATTGACAGTGCCACCAAGATGACGGTTAAACGCATAGGCTTGTGGCTCTGATCAGCGTAGCTAGCTACGTTAATTTTAGCTAGATCAGGTTGCATTTTTATAGAACAAGGGGATATACTACACTGGGTTTCACAAACTGTTTCAATTAGTAAGCTACGGATGTTAAACCCAATTTTTTGCGTTTTTGCCTTTTCGATCTGATAATCCTGTCTAAAAAAGTATATTCTCGTTTTTTTTCCAAACTGAGCATGTGCAAATTCCAGTTTCACGCAGCGCAGCAGCGTCTGATTCATAAGGCGCAAGTTCACTTGCTATAATAACCAACAGTTAGGCAGTAAACGACCCAGACCGCTATTAAAAATAATATAAACTTTTATCTAGCGCCGATTAACACCGCTGGCTTCAGGGATACTCAAAACCTACGTGCATATATCATAACATTACAAAAAATAAATTTTAGTTTTTTTAAAAACTCAGCGAAGAACATTGTCTCAACTCGAGAACTATTTTATAACATAAAATTATAACGTATTTCAAACATTTCGAGCTGCTTGACTAAACCGCCTCTAGAAAATGGAATATGGCAGTAAGAATGTTAAAGAAGCCTGCCGAGTATCTGCGGAGTATAGATATATATATATATATTTTTACAATATTCGATAAAATATATATATGTCCATCCATCCATCCATCCATCCATCCATCCATCCATCCATCCATCCATCCATCCATCCATCCATCCATCCATCCATCCATCCATCCATCCATCCATCCATCCATCCATCCATCCATCCATTCATCCATTTATTTATTTATTTTGTTTGTTTATTTATTTATTCATTTGTTTGTTTGTTTATTCATTTATTATTAATTCATTCATTCATTTAATTATTTTATTTATTGTTTTTATTCATTCATATATCTATTTATGTGCTAATTTTTTTATTCATTCATTCGTTCATTCATTTTTACTGTTTATTTATTTATCACATATTTTGTATTTTTAAACCAGATTTTTTTTTATAATTTAATTTAAATTAGTTTATTTTAAAAAAGTGTGAAATATGACCTAATTAATTTATATTTTACACAAAATGTGCTACGTGACTTTCTACAGATTTGCTGTTTGCTATACAACGGTATATTCTGTGATACATACTTACATGAGTCTATTGAAGGAGAAAATAAACGAGGTTGTTGATAACTGCTGATAACTCTATAATAAAGTAATTTTAAATACACGAGGACATAAAGTTAAACAGTTGAGGATACAGCCAAATGGCATAATGTTTTAAAATTAATGATAAACTATTTAATAATTTAATTTACGACCAATGATTTTTAAAAATTAGAATGATTTTTAAAAACGTTGTTCATATGATATTTTCTTTTCATTAAATGAATCATAATTTATTTGTATCTTTATACATAGGCTAATTGATTTATTATTTGCACATATTAGTTGATTGTTGTTGAACATTGTTGCTAGGGTTAGATGTTTTGGACGTGTTGCACTAAATCACTGTCCAAAACTGCAGATACGAAGCTATTTAAAATGTTTGAACATCAGCTTACTACGAAACCTGTTTAAATTGCCATAATCAGAATGACGGACTTTATTGGAAAATTGTTAAGACAGAAATCGAAATCAAAATCAAGTAAAAGTTCTCTTACTAACTCTGAATCTTTTGACCCAGATTTACAATGTAAGTTCAAATTTACAAAATAATACTGTTGTATTTTATAATTTATTATTTAAAATATCATATAACCTTACATTAAAATCTTATCTGTAAAATTGCTATATGAATTTTCAGTTAATTAATTTACAATTTAATGATTCTTTAAAAAAAGAAAAAAATTATTACATTCATTTGTTCGTTTAACGTTTAATTAACACAAGAGATTGTACCGAAAACTAAAATATGTTTATTTATAATAATGTTCGTAGATATTCTTCAATGAACCCAAATAATAGTTAAATGTTAATCTACGCAGATTAGATCAGAACAAAGTTCTTTTGTTGTGTTCTACACATAATTTTCTACATTGTAAAATTTTTATTTTTAATATGGAGAATGATTTTAAAAATTTTGGCAGTACAAGTAAATTTTAGGATATTAGATTTGCACGAACGCCTTCTAATTATGCTCTTATGACTTATATAATAACATTTTTAATGACATGTTGCATAATGTTACCAGTATTCTTGTAAAGGGACTGTGATAAAATATTTCAGCTGTGCATTCTCTATGT